ACTAATCATCAGCGAAATGCAAATCAAAGCCACAATGAGATATCATCTTACCCCAGTTAGAATGGCTATTATCAATATGACAAACAACAACAACAACAACAAAAACAAATGCTGGCAAGGCTGTAGAGAAAAGGAAAATCTTACATGCTTTTGATGGGAATGTATATTAGTACAGCCATTATGGAAAAAAGTATGGAGATTTCTCAAAAAACTAAAAATAGAACTACCACATGATCCAACAATCCCAACACTGGGTATATATTCAAAGGAAAGGAAATCAGTATATCAAAGGGATACCTTCACCCCATGTTTATTGCAGCATTATCCACACAATGGCTAAGATATGAAATCAACCTCAGTGTGCATTACTGGATGAATGGATTAAAAAATATGGTATATATACCCAATGGAATACTATTCAGCCCTAAGAAAGAATGAAATCTTGTTATTTGTAGAAACATGTATGGAACTGGAGGTTATTATGTTAAGCGAAATAAGCCAGGCACAGAAAGACAAAAATTGCATGTTCTCACTCATATGTGGGAGTTACAAAAGTTATCTCATAGAGGTAGAGAGTAGAAAGATAGTTACCAGAGGCTAAGAAGGGTTTGTGTGTGTGTGTTGGGAGTAGGGGGAGAAATAAAGAGAGATAGGTTAGTAGGTACAAACATACAGTTAAATAGGAAGAATAAGTTCTAGTGTTCAATAGCACAGTGGAATGACTATAGTTAACAACAATATATTACATATTTCAAAATGGCTAGAAGAGAATATTTCAAATGTTTCCAACAAAAAGAAATAAATGTACAAGGTGATGGATATCCTAAATGCCCTGACTTGTTCATCACACATTCTATGCATGTATCAAAATATCACTTGTACCCTGTAAATATGTACAGATATTATATATCAATAAAAGTATAATAAAAAGAGAATAGTTCAGTGGCAGAACAAGCTTCCAGAAAACAACAGGCAAAATTCAAATTGGAAGAAGATCATCTCTGAAGAAAGATTATGATTATTTGTAAATCATAAATGTAAGTCTACCTAAATTGAAAGAATAGAATTGTGGAAGTTTAAAAGCAAATTTCAAATATACATATTGGAATTTAATGATTATTTAAAACATAATTTAGTATCTTACCCATTCATCTTAGAAAAAAATAGATAGACTAAAGAATAAATATGTTGATATTGACTGAAAATATGGAAACTCTAACACTAATGAAATAATATATAAGAGTCAAGGATTTCAACTCTTCTAAAATTGTACTACATGGGTAGGTATATATGGATTTTTTCTTTGTACCATTTGAAAGCTGTCTAATAAAATTTTGATCTTGGAGAAGGAATATTCAAGGTAATTTCTAACATTTTTTAAATTATATAAACCATAATCCCTGACCTTTGGATGAGGTCCATTTGTTCTAATGGTACTGGGACCAATCTTAACATAAATAAGTCTTTCAAGTAAGAATGAGTGCTTGAGTCATCTTGGGAAAGAAATGTTGAGTATGTGTTTCAACACAAACGTTTAAGTATTTAAGTAACTGCATTCTGATTAATTTTTCCTAAACTTGTTTGACTATGGATAATTTCTTTTTGTAGAATCCCTTGTAATACTAGTGCTTGGTGAACCTAATTTTGGGAAAATTTGGGTAAATATTAGAAAATGAGGTTTCATTTTCTGAGAAAATACGTTTGGTCCTATAGAAAGAGAAATTCAAGATCTAAATTGAGGATATGAGGTATGGTTAGTTCTGAAAAAATAAGAAATGAGCACTCTGCCATAAATGTACCAATTAAGAAAAAAAATGAGTATGATAGAGAGCCCAGACACTTTCTCTTACAGAACATCCTGGTTTGGATATCTTACCAGAACAGGTCACTCCAACATCTTCCTGGTGACTGCAGTCATGCCTTCCCCATCCACTATGCCTGCATGACCAGAGAGCTGACTCATCCCCAAAGCAGAAAACATCATCAAGCCAAATTTTTCCAGATCCCATAGAAGCACTTCCCAGACCCATGACAATGACAGAAGACGGACAATCCAGTTGGCCACACACCACAGCTGCATCATCACTGTTCCAGCCATCATCACATACTGTGCCCCACTGTTCTTGAAACTTCACCTCCAGTCTTCCTGAGCAACGGTTGGGGCCATCCACCAGTCTCAGGCTCCACGTTTCATTGCCTACATCAACAACAATGAGGCAACTAGTTAATGGGTGTGATGGTTAATTTTATGTGTCAGCTTGGCTTGGCTGTAGTACCCAGTCATTTGGTCAAACATCAGTCTAGATGTTGCTGTGAAGGTACCTTTTTTTTTTTTTTTTTTTTTTTGGAGACAGAGTCTTGCTCTGTTGCCTGGGCTAGAGGGCCACGGCGTCAGCCTAGCTCACAGCAGCCTCAAACTCTTGGGCTCAAGCAATCCTTCTGCCTCAGCCTCCCGAGTAGCTAGACTACAGGCATGTGCCACCATGCCTGGCTAATTTTTTCTATATATATTTTTAGTTGTCCAGCTAATTTCTTTCTATTTTTTTAGTAGAGATGGGGTCTCGCTCTTGCTCAGGCTGGTCTTGAACTCCTG